ATTGCTTTACCTTGATCATCTCTTGTGTCCATTCTTTCCTCGACAACAGTCAGTAAGTGTTTGATCATAAGGTCATAGGCTTAGTCGGTGCTCTGTGTCCTAAGTTTGTGATAGAAGAATAAGTCTGCTTATCTTACCTGCCTCGAGTGCCTGCCCAGCATACTCACTGCAGTGTTGTGTCTTCGCACGTCCACCCGCACGTTAGTGGTGTCATATCTTCACCTGCCTCTCCGGCAGACGTCGACTCTACCCACATAAGCCATGCCAATACTATGCACAGTGACTTCAGCATTATCCGACGTCCTCGAGCAAGAACCCCAGAAGAGTTCTATGAGCTGCGACATATGAGCGTTCAGCCAAGGCCCAGTCATATATCCATAGGAGGTCGACAACCTCACAGCAACGTCTCTGTTTCTATTATCCAAACTCCTTTAGTTCGCACACTGTGAACTCCTGCATTGACATCGACTTCAGGTCCCCAGCACTATCCAGGTGTTCCGCTGCACGACTGGACATCTCGAACAGCGAACGAACTTCGTTCGACATACGTCGAGACTCTTACAGGGTCTCATTACATCTATCCTCTCGCAATCTCTATTGTCTCTACTCAGCGCGTCGAAGGCACTCATGGACAAGTTCGCCTATTCCTTACCAAATGATACCATCGTCAGCTTGACGACCATGACATCCTCATCCTCGAGCATCTTGTCACCAAGCTCGAGAATCTCTGCAATGACATAGTGGAATTCAAGCTTCCCTTCGTACATCAACACGTGGTATGAGACTTTTGTGACTATGTACAGCAAAGGAAGCATCAGGGAGGAGCAGCTCGTGATATCATACAAGACATTATCGCGAAATATCGACTAGGAATACAGGTCACAGGGCGACCCTTGCTGTAGATACGAATATTCACTTTGTATATGTCTTCATCTGGCGATTCAAATGATCATGATAACTTCGAGCATCTCAATCCAATCGGTCACACCTTCGACTATCTTTGGAATTCAATTCCACGCATTCTTCAGGACAGAGCAGGTGAAGCATTTGCTACATACGAGGATACGTTTTACATTGACTATCACGACGTATACCATATCTCTGCTCTTCAGCTATACACTGAATACGACTGGAGAAACATTGCGGTACACATCCGCTATATCCCTATTAGAACCGAAGAACCGGACCTAGACATCACAGAAGCTTACAATAGCTTCATCGATTGGCCCGCAGAAGTCGAGCATCTTTGCGACATTCATCATAATCATCAGTGGCCTGCAGTTAGGGACAAGACTAGGTTCTTGTGGCAATCCTTCATCAAGGTTATATACCAAGACATTCATTTGCTGCATAACCTGCGCTCAGGTCACACAATTGTCTGATCAGCCACGATCGCAAATAGTCACATCATCGAGTTCGAAGAACATCTTCGTGAAATAGAGGAGGAATTTTAAGATGACGACCCCCACCGCACATGATTCCAGTTTCTCTTGTGCTCCATCTCCGGAGCTTCCCGCATGACTTAACATTGTATTACAATCCCCAAATCCTATCATTCGTCAAGCCTTGCAGACACGGCTCCTCCCAATGCAAATATACCTGAAAATGTGAAGAATTGGGTAGTCGACTTGGTCACAAACGTGGTAGAGCAAATGCGCCAACAAATGGTGGCACATTATGAGAATCTCATACAGCGTCAAGCAAGCATGCTCGAACATAATACCACGGAGTTCCACAATCACACGGTGTTCCTTGACACTCATCGACAGCAACTTATTAGCCAAGTAGCAGATTTGGAAAAGACAGTTGCCGCTCTCACAACAGAAGTGAAAGAGCTTGTCGAGGATTACCAGCAAAATCTGGCACCAGAAGTAACGACGTTTACCAAGCGCGAAGCGGAATTAAAAGCCTCGTACGACACACTCAAAAAATTGCATGAACGATTATGCACATGGGCAAATACACAAGGAAGGAGGGCCGGCCAGGGTGGTAACGATGTCGCAGAGACAAATGACGATGATGAACCGTCGTTTGGTCGCAAGGGTAAAGGCATAAAAATTGACCAGCCAGAAAAATACGGCGGCAACAAAGATGGAGTCAATCTTGATAATTGGCTCGAATAAGTAATGCTCTGGTTGAAATATACTGGACATATCAAAGATGAGTTCAAAATTATGTCTACCCTCTTGCTCCTGAAAGGAGGAGCACGCGAATATACACGACATTGGATTACCAAGATAAACGAAATTAATAAGGCACCCGGAACTTGGGCGGAGTTTGTTTCAGAACTTTGCACGGCATATGAGTCATTGGACAAAGATGACAAGAAGCGAACAGAGTTAGAGGCCTTCGTCAAGAAGGACCATCGAGACTTCTGAAAGTTCACAGAAGACTTCCGTCCAAAGGCAACTGGTACAGGCTTCTCGGATCAAGACTTGATCGAAAAGATCAAGAAACATATTTCGGAGAAAACGTGGCTGCTCATGCTGGCAGACACAACCAAGGACAACTGGCCCAAAAAGTGGACTGAGTTCCTTACATTCGCACTCCAGATATTCATGTCACTACAACAAGAAGGCCACCATGCCAAGGCCAAAACCAAGGACCTGAATGCTATAAAGGTTGATGCAGTCAGGAAGAAGGGGAAGAGTAAACCGGGCAAAGCGCGAAGCGTACAAGATGACAAGTTGGTTTGCACCAACTGCAAGAAGAACAAGCCCACGTTCTTCAAATCGTCGAAACATTTCAGCAAATATTGCACCGATTGTTTCAAATTGGACCATGTCAAGAAGCAGGTCGAGAAGGAGAAGGAGGCAGCCATGAAGAAGAAGGATGGGAAGAAAAAGGACGATGACAAGAAGAAGTCAAAATCGTCCAAAACGTGACAGGTGGTATCTGATTCCACTTCATCAGATGCAGAGAGCGAAAGCTCTGACACTGAAGGCAAGAAGAAGCCAAAGAAAAAGAGCTCTTCCTCTAAGACTAAGGGGAAGGGTAAGGAGACAGCTGCGCATATTAGCGACCACAGCATCCACTCAGAAAGCAAGCCTGAAGCATCCGAGGTGGATTCAGAAGAAGATTTTGCCACAATCCTCTCAAGGCTCAGGTGCCTGAGGGCAAATGGATCCAGTTCATCAAGGAAGGCAGAAGAGGGCCCTTCACGAAGGGATCGGAAGGGTTTTCTCAAAGGGGATCTGTAGGCAGCTCGTCAGAGTCCCCAGAACATTATATAAGACCTGTACATTTAGCACCCAAATCAGACACCTCTGTAGATCATCGCAACGCAGAGGATGATAATGTAACCATAAAGAATTCATCTCCAAATGTATCATCATTCTATTTACCAGTTACATTATGGGTGTACAGCAAAAAAATCGAGCGCCGAACCCTTAGTCGACTCAGGAGCATATTCCATGTACATCAGCAAGCGATTTGTAAAGAACAATCGAATTGTGACCTCCAAGCTTAATACAACGTACAAAGTATACAATGCTGATGGCTCCCTAAATAAACATGGTGAAATAACTGACTATGTAAAAGCATACATTAAAGTCAGAGATCATGGTTCCACCCACCGTCTGCTAGTCACGGACATCGGGAGATTAGACATGATCATTGGGATGTCATACTTATGTCAGCATAATCCAGAAATCAACTGGCAAGCTGGAGAATGGAAATACTCATGATGCCTGAGTATGTGTCACCACCAGAGGCTTCGTAAAAAAACAACAAGCCATTGCGAGAGAGGAAGCTGAAGAAATCTTGCAACGAGCACAACGAGTGGCAGATGAGGAGCCAACTGCATGCAGAATGTTTAATGGACACAACATCGATGCAGTAAATCCTCTAATCTCGTGGGTCGAAATGGACGACCCCGAATCTGAACAAATAGCCCGCATGATACTTTTCATAGCAGATTGTGGCTATGCTGAACCAGAAGAAGACCTGAAAGAAGTGGCACCCCAGTCAAACACTGGCAGCCCAGAAGATCAGGTTATTAATGAAGTAGAATCCTGGAAAACATTAGTACCAGATTATCTACATTCATTCGGTGATGTCTTCTCCAAGAAAGCATCTGAAAGGATGCCAACTCGAAAGTCTTATGATCATGCAATTGAGTTTGAAGAAGAACATGAATTACCACGACCAAGCAAACTCTATCCTATGAATCCGAAGGAAAGAAATTCCCTAGATTCATGGATCGACGAAAACCTAGCAAAAGGCTACATTCAATAGTCGAAATCACCTATTGCAGCCCCGGTATTCTTTGTCAAAAAGAAGGACGGCACGCTAAGACTGGTACAAGACTACCGAAAACTTAATGCCATAACCATGAAGAATCGCTTCCCTATTCCACGAATAAGTGAGCTTATCGATCAGCTCAGTAATGCGTCAATATTCACCAAGCTGGATCTCCGATGGGGATATAACAATGTTCGCATCCGCAAGGGCGACGAATGGAAAACAGCTTTTGTGATGCATCGCGATTTATATGAAGCCACGGTTATGTTTTTCAGTTTCTGTAACGCACCAGCCACCTTCCAGCACATGATGAATGAGATTTTAGATGATCTTATTCGGGAAGGCCATGTGATCATCTACCTCGATGATATTCTAATCTTCACCAATGATCTGAAACAACATCGGAAGATTACCAAAGAGGTAATTAAAAGATTACGGGACAATAACCTTTTCACCAAACCAGAAAAGTGCTTTTTTTGAACAACCCTCGATTGAGTACTTAGGGATGATTATCTCTAAAGGCAAGGTCCGTATGGATCCTCAAAAGGTCGCAGGTGTACTCGACTGGCCTGAACCCAAAAAGGTTAAGCAAGTACAAGCTTTTCTTGGGTTCGCTAATTTCTATCGTCGATTTATTGAAGGATTTGCCAAGAAGTCTCGACCACTTAATATCCTTACATGAAAGGATCAGAAATGGGTATGGGGTAAAGAACAACAACAGGCATTTGAGGCTCTCAAACATGCCTTTACTTCAGCTCCAATTCTGGCACTACCGGATGATACTCATCCATTCCAGTTAGAAATGGATTTCAGCAATTTTGCCACTGGCGCATGCCTTGAACAACTCAAAGACGATGGGTTGTGGCATCCAATCACATTCTATTCGAAAAGCCTCAATGAGGCTGAGCGGAACTATGAAATCTACGACAAAGAGATGCTTGCAATTATTCGAGCATTAGAAGAATATCAACAACATCTCAAAGGTCATCCGCTCCTGGTAGAAATTTGGTCCGATCACCAGAACTTAACCTATTTCAAATCAGCACAAAAGCTAATGAGGCAGCAAGCTCGATGGTCATTATATCTTACACGGTTCAACATCCAACTACATCACAAACCAGGGAAATCAATGCATTGCGCTGATCCTCTGTCCAGGAGGCCAGATCATGAAGAGGGGGTAAATCTCGATAATTCTGACAAGACTCTGCTCAAACTGTAATATTTTGTGATTAAAGCTATTCAACATACCCATCTTGCAGTCATCACAGATTATGATTTGGTGGACAAGATCAAGGAGGCACTACAAGATGACAATGTGAACAGATCATATCAAGACCTACTCAAGAAAGGACAATGAGAGTTCTCGAAAGGACTCGAAGACTGGAACTTCGAAAGTGGGATATTACTATATCGAGGCAAAGTCTATATGCCAAAAGCAGATAATAAGGAATCACTTAGACGAGAAATCGTCCAGCGTCATCATGAAGCTGCCAGTGCAGGTCATCCTGGAAGATGGAAGACATATGAGATGTTATCTCGTAACTACTGGTGGCCAGGAATGTCCACTTACGTCAAAAAGTATGTTGGTTCTTGCGACCTTTGTCAATGCAACAAGAACATCAATCAGCCAAAATACGGAGAATTACAGCTAAATGGGGTTCCAACAGAACCTTGGGAAATTGTCTCTGTTGACTTAATCACTCAATTACCAGACTCCCATGAATTCAACGCAATTATGGTAGTTGTCGATCGTTTGACCAAAAGGGCACATTTCTTTGCAATCACCAATGAGTTCTCAGCATCAGACCTTGCCCGTACCTTCTATAAGAGGGTGTGGACTCAGCATGGTCTTCCAAAACAGATTATCTCAGATAGAGGTACTCAGTTTGCAAGCGCATTATTCCAGGAAGTATGCAAACTCCTTGGGATACAATCAACAATGTCTTCAGCATATCATCCAAAGACCGATGGTCAAACTGAAAGAACAAATCAGTCACTAGAGCAATATCTTCATATCTATACTGACAGATGCGTGGAAGACTGGAGTACACTACTCCCAACTGCCAGATTCACCTATAATAACCAGGCTTCTGAAGCCACTAAGAATTCACCATTCTTTGTCAAATACGGTAGACATCCACGTGCAGAACCAACAATAATGGACCCCATAAAGCATCATATGTTAGATTCCATAATGCAGGCACGAGTAGAAGCGCAAGAGCAAGCGAAGGCAGCCATTCTATTGGCGGCTGAACGCATGAAGTGGTACTACGATCAGTCCGTACCACCTGCACCTTTCAAAGTTGGAGATCGAGTACTACTCTCCACTAAAGATTGGCAGACATCGGAAGTCAAACTGGCACAACGGAGAGATGGACCCTTCAAAATCGTAGAAAAACTAGGACCAGTCACATACAGACTCAAAATGCCACGACAGTATGGCGTTCATCCAGTTTTTCATGCGTCCAAGCTCGCGCTCTACCAAGAAGATGAAATACCAGGTCGCACACTCAGACCCCGTCCTCCTATCAAAAAGAAGACTGGCGAAGAATGGGAAGTCGAGTATATAGTCGACTCTCGTGTCATTTGTGGCAAACTTCAATATTTGGTGCATTGGAAGGGTTATTCCAAAGCTGAAGAAACTTGGGAACCCGCTGTGAATTTGAAGAAATCTCCACGTCTCATCAAGGAATTTCACAGAAAATATCCTGATGCACCTCAACCAATATCTCTCATTGATACAACTCCAGTCGATGGTGTTTTTCCACCCAGGAGAACAGGTCAAGTCTATGACCCCGCCACTGATACCATTCAGATATACGACCAGGATAGAGATGATTGGGATCACTCTAGAGACCTTCAAATTACATTAGACAATCCAAATGCACGAGCACCAACATATGCCCATGAAGACGATGCTGGAATGGATTTAGCCACATCAGAACCAACAACCATCTGAGCACACTCAAGAGGATTGGTATCCACAGGACTTCACTTCACAATACCTCGAGAGACCTATGGTCAAATTGCACCATGAAGTGGTTTAGCTCTCAAAGGCATCGACATAGGCACTGGTGTAATTGACAGAGGGTACACAGGCAAAATCAAGATTTTGCTGATTAATAATACCCAAGATGATTTTACAGTCAATTTAGGCGACCATGTTGCTCAACTTATTATTGAACGCATCATCACACCTGTCATTTCACTGGTTGATTACCTCAAACCCTCCACCCGAGGACACCATGGATTTGGTTCAACAGGCAACAATTACTTTCAGAAACCACGAAAAAAGCCCGATTCAGGACGAACTGTCTAGAAAGGGGGGTACTGTCACAGATTTTCACATCTTTCAATCCTCACGTGACTAGGACATCACATGACATCAGTGCTAGGCTGTTCAGAAAGGAACGAACCGGTACACGAAGTACTAACAGTCCTATGCGCCCTGAAGGTCCAGGTCTAGTCACGTGACATATCACGTGATAT